ATAGGTAAATATAGATGGAAAATTAATTAAAAATACAAAAAAACAAAAAATACAAAAAAATATAGAGAAGAAGAAGAAGAAAATAAAAATAATAAAAAATTAAACCAGTTGTTTCATGAAAGTGCAAAATAATAAAATTTATAAAAATTAGGGAAAATTAGGGTAATAAATTTAAAAAAAAAGATTTTTAGTAAAATAAGGAATTTAATTGTTAAAAAAGAGGTAAATAAAGCAATTAATTAAGAATAAGCCCACGCAAAATTTATATTACATAATTTTTAGTGGCAGCTGCTGGAAAATAAAGAATGAAAATAAAGAAGGAAAAAGAAAAACAATAGATTTTAATTGGAGTATAAAAAGTTAAAAAAATATACTTTTTGTTCACACACACATTTCCTCCAAAAAATAAAAATCTAAAAAAATATTGTTTGATTAAAAATAGGAAAAATTTAAATTTTGAAAATAATTTTGAGAAACTTCTACATTTATTTAAATTTTATAATTGGTTAAATTTTTTAAACTTCTAATAAAAATAAATAAATTACAATTATATCAAATCACAACAAAATAATCTCTCTTTCAAATTCTCCTTGTTCTTCGAAGTTTTGATTATTTCTCGATCAATTTTAAATAAAATAAATTTTAATAATTTGTCGTAATTTTGTATACAATATAAAAAATAATTATGATATTCAATAATCTAAAATAAAATGATGGTTTTCATAAAAATCTTCTCACAAATATCTTTTTTAAATTAACAATATATTTTTTGTGAATATATAGAATTATTTTAATTATTATCGCTTTTAGTATAAGCAAATTAAAAAAAAATTTCGTCCTACATTTCCATACATTAAAGTAAATTTATTTTTAGTTTTAAAAGTTATATTTTACGTATTCAATTAATGGCATTATTTCGACTACTTTAAAAAAGAAATTTGCTCTAGAAATGCCCTGAGCCTCTTTTATCAAGTCGTTCATACAAACGAAAGAACAGAGTAAATAAACATAAAAGTTTTTTTAATAATATTTTAAAATTAAATAATTTTATTAAAATATTTTTAAAAACTAATAAGTTATCAATTAATTTTTATTAGTAATATCAAGACTTAAATAAGTTTATATACAACGTAGCAATAAATAGAAGAATCGCTATATGTATAATTAAATATGGCAAATAGATATTATCATTAATGCTTATTATTACTTCCAGGATTTACAGTAATATCTGATTGCTGGAAGGCTTATTGTATCATTTTATTTAAAATATTTCAGGCAGCCCATCATCATTATCTTAATTTTATTTTTTTATTTGAAAAATATTCCGTTTTTTAAAATATAAATAGTCTGACTATGATTTGAATAATAAGATGATAATAATATAATTATCGTTAAGAGTACAAAATCAAATTCTTTAAAAATTTATATGTAAATAATACACATAAAGCAAATTTACATATAATTAAAGGAACTCGTTTATGTAAGTACATAGAAACTTTTAATTGATTCTTATTTATGTATATAAAATATTATTTAAATTTATTATATGTATATGATCCAATTAAATTTACAAAATTATAAAAACACTATATATAACTAGAGCGTATAATTACAAACACTTTTTAGTGTTTATAATTTTTAGTACTACTTTTGATATACATAAATGAGTAAAAAGGATTTTTTTGGTCATAAAAATGAAATAAATTGGAAAATATAAGCATAAAATAAAAATATAAGCAGAATATATCAATATAAAATTACAAAAAAACTAACTATTAAAAATATACAGGGTGGCCAAATAATATTTGTTTTTATTTAATGAAAGTAAATTAGATAGTTACAATTTAGACTAAATTTAGTTTATGATATTGTGAAAATTTAATAAAATATTTAAAAATAATTTAAAATTTAATAAAATTATATTTATTGAATTAATTTATAAAATTTGCTAGCTTAATCTTATCACGGAAACAGCATGATGTGAGTAGGAATACAATTAACACAAATAAAATATAGAATAACAATTTATAATAACAACAAATACACCACTAATAATAAATTATACAATAATTTTGAATGAATAAATTTAAAATAACAACAGAAATTGTTCAAAATTTACATATGTATGTGCTATTATTAATGAAATTTTTTATGTCCAACAACAACAACACTCACGATGTAAATGAAATTATCGCCGCACATTAAAAACTATCATCGATTTAGAAAGTTTATTTAAAAGACCGTCTAAAATGTGACATACTATTCCATAATCTAATTGAACTTATTATAAAATTTTATGAAATTTTCTATGAAAATTTTAGCAAAAAATTTTTATTTAAAAATCATAAGAATTAATAATTAAAATTTTAATTAAAAATTTAATAACAAATTTACTTGCTAAATTATTTGTATCCAAAACTTCACTATCTTAGTCAAAACTGTGCTATAATTATTCAGTTTTATCTATGTATTTATGCAATAAAAAACAAAACTAATGTTAAACTAAATAAATAAAAATTAAAAAAATATTTGTTATAGATAAATATGAGATATTTTTACAACTAACAACAAATTTTAAAATTTGAAAAAAGAAAAGTATTTAAAAGATACAAGCCATATGTGTAAAAAGATGATGTAAAATAATATTTGTTTCACATTAAGTTTATAGATTATTTTGGAATAAAAATGATTATTTTAATTTTGTATAGATAAGAGTTAATAAAAATGTATAAATAGAAATTAAAAAATAAAAATTAAGAAAGAAAAAGATGGTTAAATCTAATAAGAAACCAGAAGTGCAAAAAAAGATTATTTATCTCTTCATTGATTAAAATAAATATTTTTTATATTTTTAAAGGAAATAAAAGATTGAACATATTTTTAAAAATTTGAAAAAGTGAAAAAACTGTTAATGATTTTGAAAAAGAGAATGGTCCCGTTTAGTCAAAAAATTTGAATAAATTCATAATTAATTAACATAATAAAATATTTAATAAAAATAATTTTAAACTTATTTTTAAATATTATTTCAAATTTATATTAAATAAAGTTTTTTAAAAATAATTTATTTTATATCAACCACACGATCATAAGTTAAATAATGTTGGAAATTTAAGTCATTTTTAGATTTTTACTGCTAAAATATTAGAAGTATTTCGAAAGAAATGAGAATTACTTCTAAAATGCGTTTAATATCCATGAAGGCTGAACAATGGAGGAAGTAAAATTAAAATATTATTTGAGTAATTTTTTGTTAATTAACTAATTTTTTGTTAATTAAATGTATATTACATACAATATTAAAACAAAGTTTATAAATTTATTGAAGGAAAATTTTTGTAAACAATAAATTTTGTTAAAATAACCCATATGTATGACGAAATAAATAAATTTTTAAAAATATAACATCCAAGAATGCAAACCTTTATCGAAATGAAAATAAGTTAAAAACTATATTGTTTAAAATATAAACTACAATTTAATTTAAATTTAATAAATAATAAATTTAGCAATAGTGAGAGGAAGATGAATGAGAAATATCCTGAAATATAGGATATTTCTATCCAATATCTAAAAAAAATAATTACAAGTTTAAAGAATAAAATTTAAAAAAATAATCACAAATTAAAACTGTGTTGTAAAGGAACGAAATGCTTCGCACAGTCCTATAATGGGGTTTTCAGTTTTTATTTTCGCCTTTCGTTTTTAAAATCCCATTGACACATCTTTGGTATTTATAATACATCTTTGGTATTTATAATCTTTGGTATTTATAATAAGTTTGTATTTGAGTGGAAAAATAATCTAGTTGGAAAAGTTATTCAATGGAAAACGCATAGTTATACTAAATAATAGCCCATCTGGCTAACTCACGGAACGGCAAGTCGCGGAACGGCAAGTCATCGAATTACCAAGTCACGGAATGACCAAAACATGGTACGATCAACTTATCGAAATTTTTTGAAGACTCTGAATATTTTTAAAGACTCAGAATTTTTTGAAAATTAGAATGTTAAAAAACAGAATCCAAAAAATTATGAAAAATTCTAATTTTTAAAAATATTCCGTACTTTGGTCTTTAATTGAGTTGGTCGATACGTGATTTGGTAATCCAGTGACTTGTCATTCCGTAACTTGCCTGTTCCGTGATTTGAAATTCCTCGAGTTAGCCCCTACCCAATAGTTGTGACTTGCAAAACTATAAAAAACTGGTTAAAAATTGGCCTTGCGTTGTCTTCCTATCATTGAACCAAATTTTCAGTATTTGTTCAATTTTCCTAAAGTGTCGGGAATTCAGGAAAAAAATTATCCATCTTCGTTTAAAATTAAATGAGTTATATGTAGACAAAAGAAAAGCGGCTGTATTTAAATAGCACAAAGAAAAATTATATGACCTCAAAATATGCAGCAAAATATGCATTATGCAGCGAAGTCTGAAATATGCAAAAATATGCATTATATGCGAATAGAAACCCCCTCTAAAGTTTTCAAAACATGCGGAAACAGTGTTTTTTGTACATTATACATCATGCCAAGTTTGCAAAAAAAATATGCATTTGCATAAAAATCACAACTCTAATTATGACTTAAAGTAATCTTTTTTTGTTTTCTAGTTCCGGTATCTGTAGCTACATAGCTGCAGATAGAGTAGCTACAGATGAAAAAAGCTACAGATGCGTTAAATTTTGGCCTTGCATGTCTTCATATCATGGAACCAAAATTTCAGTACTTGTTCAATTTTCCTAGTGTCGGGAATCCAGAAAGAAAGAATTATACATTTTCGTTTAAAATTAAATGAGTTCTAGACAAAAAAAGAGGCCGCTAATTTGCCGCACACTTTATTTAAATAGCACAAAGAAAATTTATATCAATTAATTTATTATTATTTTCATTACTTAAGATTTAAATATATTTGTTTAAAGAATTCAATTTTTAATTTTATTTCTTTTTTTCTTCTCAAAATGTTTATAATTTCAGATTAAACGCTTCATTTAACCACTTTAATCTTCATTACTATCAGGTTTCCCATTAAGATCATATGGATATATATTTAAATCAATTTGATTCATGCCATTTTCAGCAATTTTATTCGGATCTTCTACCACAATTTCATTTTGCTCTTCCACATAATTCTCTCCATTTTCCTTATTACATTCTCCTTGCTCCACATCATCGGAAATATAATTTCTTTCAACAAATTTTAAGCTATCTTCCCAAACAATCGGCTCTTTTCCTTTATTTTCATAATTATCAGTCTGTGGATTAACAAATGAATTTTCCTTCACATTATCAGATTGAATATTTTTTAATTCTGAATTTTCTTTTTTTATAGTTTCCCTTTTATTTTTCTTTTTTAGAAAGAATTTTCGATTATATTCTCGCTTTTTTTCTTTAAAATTTGGATTATTTTCCATATTATTTTTAAACCAATTTCGCTGATATTTTTGTCTCTTATCTTTATTAATTTTATAATAACTTTTCCGATTTTCCAGCAGCTTTTCTTTATTTTGATGATAATAATCTTTGTTATATTCTTTTTATTAAACTTTTTTTGTTCTCCATTATTTTCAATTGCGCCTTTTTCCGTAATTTTAGGGTTTGGCTTTAAGGTTTTTTTATATTTTCGAAGTTGAGGAGCTATCGACGATTCAGCCCCATCAATAAATAATTTTGGTCGTTTCTGTGACGAATAATCATTTTCAGAATTAATTTCTAAACCTTTATGTTTTTTAGTATTTTTAACAGAATTAATTAAACTCCATAATATCGAATTGAAAATTAAAAAGATTAAGACACTATCAAGTTTCATTCTAAATTAATTTCTAAAAAATTATTAAAAATTAAAATTTTATATTAATTAAAATTGAAGGGAATAAAAAATAAAAAATATTTCACAGTGTAGTAAAATGTTGTTATTGTTAAATATATTTTCAAAATATTAAAGCTGGATAAATTATGAAATCTCAAATGACATTTTCTCAGACGTTTTTAAGTGCATTTTATAATTGTCTATGAAAAGAGATTTCGACATAATATTTAGCAATAATGTCCTTTTACTCCACAATGAAATTAGGGTGGGGGATCCGGTCCGAAAGATCGAGTCTGGCATCGAATTTTGGCCCGAAAAAAAACGGTCGGCACGACTCGAAAACTCCAACTTTATATAAAATATGTTTGTTTTAGTAAAAAGTGCCGAGTGTTTAAAAAGTATTGTTTTTAAATTAATAAAATGTTAATTTTTAAAAAAGTTATAAAATTAACTTAAAATTAAGCTTATGTCTTTTTAATGTCTGTAATCTTCAATAGATTTTATGGAGTTTAATTAATTCTGTTATAAATAATAAAAATTTAAATACATTTGAGGAAACATCAAAGGATCTAGTTTGACTATGACAAATTTTTTAATTTTAAAGACTTTCTTTAATGTTTGTGAAAATGTCCTTTGAATTTTATAATTCGTCGGCTTTAATAAATATGTTTACACGATATTTAGCAATATTGCCCTTTTACGTATAATCATGAAAAAGTACATTTATTATAAAATATACGTCAAAATACACCGGGGCCGGTAAGATAAGAGCGTAGTTGCTGGTTAGGTGACCAAACAAGTCTTTCTCCCATAATTTAAATCGAAGGGAGAAATGGCTGCGCCGAAAAAAACCGAAGAGATGAATATGGAAACGTATACGGTAGTTTTCCTCCTCTTTTCTTCCTAAAAAGCACGGTAGAAAATTTTTGAAAAAATCATTAAAAATCAAATTTTGATGGAAAAATTATAAATTTAATATTTTTAAATAGTTGAAGTGTCCTCTATTTTTTGACATAATTTTTGGAATTTTCCCTTTAAAACTACATTTATGAGAATTTTTAACAAAAAGTACCTCATTTTTCAGTGATTTTTTTAAGAAAAAGTAGTACCTTGCTAAAAAAATCATAACTTTTAAATAAATTGGTCAAAATTTTTGATTTTTTGTTAAATCATAAATGACACTCCAATCTATATTTTGGCAAAAAATAAAATTTTTAACTACTTCATAGAAAAAGATATGATTTTTTCCCTAAATAGAGAGAAATAAGAAAAAACCGCGACGCCAAACGTAGAGAGACGGCGTAGAGTCAAATCGGCGCTACCGTAACGATGGTTACCTAGTTTCTTAATTAAAAATATTAAAAGTTCAATCTCCCTTTAAGTAATATTTGTTTGGTCTTTTACAAAACTCTAAAAAATAATAAGAGGTAAATTCAAATATAACATTCTGTCTGTTGACATAGCTGAACAAATTAATAATTTTCTATATTAGAAAATTTATTACGAATTTTATATTTTTACAATTTTTATTTAAACAATAAAAAATACATATTTTATTGAATTATTGGGGATTTATTTGTGTCCGTTTGAAAATAGCATTTCTATATGGTGTGTTTGTTAAAATACAAATAATTGGGTTAAATACAGGCGTTAAATGAAGAAAAATGTAAATTAATATACGAATAATGTTGGTTGTTGTATTGTTTATTTTTGAAAAACTTAAAATAAATGAAATTCCTGCCTGATCGACGAATGGTATGACAGCCTAAAAATTATTAAAATTTTTCAAATATTTTCTCAAACAAAATTTCATTTAAAAAGCCTACCAAAATAATCAAAACTCTTGTTAATTGTTTATTCAATCTTTTTAAATTTTCATCAAAATTAGTTTAGATTGACATATCTAACCATCTCGTATCCACAAATTATTATTATTAAATATGCAGAAATTTCAATGAAGACTAATGGCAAATTTGCCAAAAATGTCGTCTTTAATTTATTTAAGGACATAAAAATTTAATTTAAAAATTTACCTGTTCCATTTTAAATTGAATACAAGGCCATGTTTTGTTAAAATATCAAAATAAATACTTCCACCTAAGTTATCTTTCTTTATATCAACCCCTATATCTAAATTCAACATTTACTCATCAATAGCAATATTTAAAAAAGTTTTTTTTTAAATTTTAAATAGTTTTAAAATTTAATTTTAATTTATTAAATTTAAAATAAAAATTTTAAATTTAAAAAATTCGATAGTCGCACACTCAAAAAATTCCCTTTCTTAATTTTGGCAAGAGAAAGCTCTGCCATAGACATGCCTTTCAATTAACTCAATCAATTTTGAGACGCACGCTTTAATGAGAGCCTCGAGCTTTGACTACGAGCTTTAAGGAGAGGGAAATTTAATTAAAAGGCATATGCTAAGTGCATTTAAAAGTCAAATTTGAAGGAGAGAGGAAGAGAGAGAGAGAAAAAGAGGCGAGAGGTGGAGGGACTTCGATTGGTAGGGAATTTAAAGAGGCGCGCGGGTATTGCTTATACATATTAAATCTCGACTTGAACTTGTTCTATATCTCAACTAAAATTTGTTTAGTTAAGTTAATTTTGGTGTTTTTCGACTTAGCTCGACGAGATCTTTCGAATGAGCTATTATTTGCGTATTTAAATTGGTGCTTATTACTCCCCCCCCCACGATGTTGTCGATATTTCGGGATCTATGTATATTCAGTCAATAATCATTTCCTAGAGTAGGAAGTAATACCGTTCGACTCAGCTTTTCGGGACGAATCGAATTACATATGTCACGTCCCGGACTTTTCTACAGTTTCTACACTACAGCCAATAGCTTAATAATTATTTTAAAATTTCAAAATTCAATCTCGTTTGTTATTTTAATTTCATTAACTATTCCTATACTATGAAATCCCGAAAATTCAAAATAATAATTTCAAATATTTTATCCTTTTCATTTCAAGAGACAAAAGTTAATTTTTACATATAACAGAAGGGGAAAAATGTGCGAGAATTGCACTTCTATGTATAATTTTTATATCATTTACCCCTTGAACAAGCAACTGAATAATCAACAATAAAATATCTATAACACAACTTTGTATCAGAATTAGACTGTGTGTTTTCATTTCTTTTGGTGTTTTAAAAATAATTAAAATAATCAGAATAATATTTAAAGGAAACCCAATTAATAAACAACCAAAATAATCAAATTTAAATAAAATATCGAGTAAATCTGACATTTTAATTTTAATTTTTTTTAATTTAGAAAATTAAGTAACTTTTTTTATATAAATATTTTTTGTCACGAAACTTAAAATTAATAATTTGTAAATACAAAAAATATTTTTGAGAAAATTTTTCTCAATTATGTAAATATGTCGTGAGATTTTAAGTCTATGTTAAATTTTTATTAACTGTTTACGTTTATCTATATAATATTTTTCCCACAGCCAATAAAAATTTAACATAAACTTAAAATCTCACGACCTGTTTACATGATTAAACAAAATTTTCTCAAAAATACCTACGCCCACTCGGTCTGGGACCATTCCTTACCCTATTCCTCGAAATTTCCGCAAGTTTTAATTGTTTAAGGAATGGTCCCATAGTAAGTAATGGTCCCAGACAGTGGGCGTAGGTCCCAAATATGAATATGCTTTGGAACCATACATCAACTTGCAACACCAAGAAAAATCCCATTTTCTTTTGATTGAACCCATAAACGTTTATTGGACGTTAAACTAGACAAGCACCGAAAAAGACCCTATTTCTGATCTACGAAGATTCTCCAATAACCGACACCTTCACTTAAGTTATCTTTCTTTCAACAACGCAACCTTTATATCAAAATTCAACTTTTACTCATTATTTGCAATATTTAAAAAAAGTTTTTTTTGATTTTTAAATAGTTTTGAAATTTAATTTTTAATTTATTAATTTTAAAATAAAAATTTTAAATTGAAAAATTCGATAGCCGCACTCTCTAAAAATTCTCTTTCTCAATCTTGGCAAGAGAAAGCTCTGCCATAGACATGCCTTTCAATTAACTCAATCAATTTTCAGACGCGAGCTTTAATGAGAGCCTCGAGCCTTGACTACGAGCTTTGAGGAGAGGGAATTTTATTAAAAAGGCATATGCTAAGTGAAAGACATATGCTAAGTGCATTTAAAAGTTAAATTTGAGGGGGAGGGAAGGAGAGGGAGAGGTGGAGGGACTCGATTGAGATGGATTTTAAAGAAGCGCGCGGGTATTGCTTATACATATTAAATTTTTCTAGGCATTTTAAAATTCTCTAAAAATTGCTTAAAAAATTCTCTCTTAATAAAAAATTTTACTATTTTTAAGTTTTAAAAAAAATTTATAGCTATATGTTAAGAGAAGCTTTAAGTTAAGAGTTAAGTGTTAATAGATGCTATAAGTTTTTTTCTTTGCTATAAGTTAGAGGAAAATACTAACTTAATTGTTTAATTAGGGAAAATTAGAAATTTTATAAGTTATTGGAAATAAGCTTAGCCGATTTTTATGTGTATAAGCTACCTAAATATTAATGTGGAGAGTTAGTACAGAAGAGTGGTAGTTGAAACCAGTTATGTCAAAGTTCCAAAATTTCTCTGGAACTAGTTCCAGTTCCGGAACTAAGTTTTTAATTTTAGTAGTTCCAGTTCCAGTTCCGGAACTCAATTTTTGAAATTCCTTAGTTCCAGTTCCAGTTCTGGAACTAGTTCCAAGCTAGTTCTAGTTCCAAATTTTTAAATTTTTTTGAATATGAAAAGTTTTATCAATTTTAACAAATAAAGACATAATTTAAAAAATCATTTAGTGTGCGGCAAAATCGCATTCACGGGATCCCGTAACGGGATTTTCTTCAAAATTTTTACGGACGGGATCCCGCGGGATTAATCCCTTAATCCCGATAATCCGGTTCGAATAATCCGGTGAAGAAGAATATAATTCTGTAGGATCTGAATATGCATCATCAGATTCTGATTTTGTGAATGCTAAAGTACAGTGGAATCCGGATGACATCCTAGTGTAGCTAAAATAATTTCGGGATTTTTACGTAATAGATATCGGGGAGAAAAAATTTCCGAAAATAAAACCCACCCTGAAATAGAGCCCCATCTTGGAGGGTAGGTATACCGCCCGATACTGGTCGGAATCCCGATACCGGCCAACTCTACTATTTTCGGAAATACATTCACTTTTTCAGCGCCGCAGGCGGAAATTTTGAGAATTTGTAAAGTCGTAGGCCAAAAAATTCACTTTTTCAGCGCCGCAGGCGGAAATTTTGAGAATTTGTAAAGTCGTAGGCCAAAAAAATTCACTTTTTCAGCGCCGCAGGCGGAAATTTTGAGAATTTCTAAGGTCGTCCCGTAGACTTCGTCTAGTAAATTTTGTCAAAAATATACCCCCAAGAACTAGTTCCAGAACTAGTTCCAAAGCTAGTTCCAGACATTTACTAGTTCCGTAGTTCCAGTTCCAAGCTAGTTCCAGGCATTTACTAGTTCCGTAGTTCTAGTTCCAAACTAGTTCCAGATAATCGTTAGTTCCGTAGTTCTAGTTCCGGAACTGGAACTAGAACTAATTAGTTCCGGAACTGGAACTGGAACTTTGACATCACTGGTTGAAACAATGTAGTCGAGCTTTGACCTCGAGCTTTGACTACGAGCCTCGAGCTTTGACTACGAGCTTTGAGGAGAGTGAATTTTAATAAAAAGTCATATGCTAAGTGCAACACGTGCTACTTGGTCATTTAAAAGTCAAATTTGAGGGGGAGGGAAGGAGAGGGAGAGGGAGGGGTGTAGGGACTCGATTGAGAGGGATTTTAAAGAAGCGCGCGGGTATTGCTTATACATACATATTAAATTTTTCTAGCCATTTTAAATTCTTTTAAAATTGCTTAAAAAATTCTTTCTTAATAAAATTATTTACTCTGTTTAAGTTTTAAAAAATAAAATTTATATATTTATGTTAAGAGAAACTATAAGTTAATAGTTAAGAGAAGCTACAAGTTTTTCTCTTAGCTATAAGTTAGGTGAAAGAACTAACTTAAATATTTTATTAGGGAAAATTAGGAATTTTATATAGGGAATCTCATTAAAAATATCAGATATTTAAAAAAACAGTAGCGTTTGTCATGCGGCCCATAAAGTTTTTTCATCTTATAAAGTTATATATTAGATTTTTTTGTGCTTAAAAATTTGTGTTAGTTTCTGTAAGATTTCTTATCAACGGCCTTACCCCTAGCGAATTCCTAGTGAACCACTTACCTATAACTCAAAATATATTTACGGATCACAACTTCACCATTGAAAACCAAAAGAAATCTCCAATATATAACTTTATGGGACGCAATTTACAAAAGTCTAAATAATTTTAATTATTTAAGAAAAAAGCAAGAATTCTTTAAAAAGTCATGAACATCAAATTCTTTGTGCTACTTTGCATAGCCATAATTAGTTCGTTGAGTATCGTCACTGTTAAATGTTATCGTGTTATGACCCATAGTTATTATTATGGGAGGCCAAGTGGCCCTTATTATGTGAGGCCAAGTGGCCCTTATTATGGGAAGCCACGTGTTGTACATCATAAATATAGTGTAGAACATATTTATGAAGAAGAGGAACCAGAGAAGCCGAAACCAAAGCCTGAGGAGCCTAAATTTGAATCAAAGAAAGATTGGACTCTTGGTAATGTATAAACATATTTTAAAAAGCTCAGTTCTATTTGAGGCTTTATTCTAAAACTTCTATAATGAGGCTTTATTCTATATATAATGTTGTTAATATACATATACTGTTGAAAACAATTTTTCGAATTTTCATCGTGAAGTAAGCGGTTGGCAACAGGATTAAGTTTCAACATTATATGTATGAGAATGTAAATTTCCTGGTCACTAAATTTCCTGGTTAACCCCAGCCCCATTTCCTAAAAAAGGCTCTAACCATAAGAAGATATAAACTAATTTTCAATTTTAAATTCAGGTGATCTGAAAGTAAAGTTTACAATAAAAAAGGAAACATTCGTTCCTGATGTTGTAGACTTTATAAAAAAATTTAATGGAAGAATTCAAAAAAGTACAATTGAAGCTCCACACGCAATTTTCGAAAATTTGCCCAAGGAATCAAAGAAAATAAAGGATTTGTTAGATGCAAAAACTGTGAACAAATGGGAGGATCAGCCTGAAGTATCTTCCGCATTTGAGAAAATTAGGGGAGAAATGGAAAAAGTCTATTCTGTGTCTGAATGGGAAAAGCCTATTCAAGAAGGAAAAGATAAGGGAAAAGGTTTTATAATTTAATTTTATGTAATTAGAAAATTACCGGGATTTGACACAATTGATGGTAAAGACAAAACTATTTATTTTTGATATTTTATGACTTTACATTTGTCCTTCTTACTACAACTCTACTCCACTGAATTCCTGTTACCTCTGATTTCCTCTCTTACCTATGACTCCACTGATTTCCTCTTACCTTAGGAGGAAATGATATAAGGTTTTTACCGATTAGCCATCATCTACTGATTGAACGTTTTGAATGCAGTATCTGCTAGACAAGCAGAAAACTTCGATAACTTGCTTTAGATAAAATTATCCATATATATCACCGATTTAAAGAGATTTTTTATTTAAATTTAATTATTTAGTCAAGCAAAAACAGCTCTGGCACAAAGCATTATTTTTACTTAATGCTCTGTTTCAACTTTATGACAAAGTTTTGTCCGAATTAATCAAGTTGGTTGATAAAAGCAATGAACAAGTTAGCAACGCGATTTGTGCGGATAAAGTTAAAGATTTAGATAAGGAAAAGAAATGCTCAAAGGGACTAGAAGCACTTGTTAAGATGAACAAGGAGAATATTGAAAAGATTGATGATTTCTATAAACTTCATGATAATTTTGGCAAGTTTATTTTGCGATCACTATAATAAAAAGAAATCAGAATCGGGGAAAGACCGTTTGAGAATAAAGTCTGGTCAAGTTTTGGGTCGGATCAGTTAAAATATTTTACTTGAAGGGATTCTGAAGAATTTAAGTTGATCATTCAATATCTTCCTCAAATACTTTCAATCTCTAGTGATCTTCTTAATCTGCTGCCCATCAAGCCATTTCACCCTTATTCCCAATTAAATTAAACCCAAATCCTTCAATTTATATCTTATAATCAACTAAAAACTTTTAGTTAAACAAACAAAAGCATGGAACGAATTTAAAGAGAAAATCAAAAATATTTTTACCGTTGAAATTGAGACCCCAAAAATAAAATTTGAAAAACAAAAAGTAAAGTTTACACTTAAAAAAGACGAATTCTTTTCTGAAATTGTTGACAAAATTAAACTTTATCATGAAAAAATTAACAGAGAAGATAAAGTAACTGATGCTGCTGAAACAATTTATGCATTTCCGAAATTGTTTCGGGATTGGCTGAGAGAGAAAACAAGTGATTGGAAGGAGCAGCCTGAAGCTACCAAAGCTTTTAATTATATAAAGGAGGAGATAACCAAGAGTTATTCGTTAAGGGAGGAGATAACACGATTGAATGGTAAGAATTTTATGATGACAGTCTATGCTTCTCATGCAATGAGAAGGAATATCCTTCAGCTTTTCTGGGCAGGGGTTTAAGATTAATTAAAAAAGGCATGTAAAAGCGTCTCGGTAACTCAGCCGAAAGAAATTCTGTAAATGATACATATATACGTGTTCACTATACACAGTCGTAGACCCGATCATTTAACCATATTAGGTAACAGAGTAACCAAGACAAAATACACCAGTATATTCACGATATAAACATACCATCGTATAAAAAACCCTCATGTGGCAGGGATTTTGTCCGTAAATCACCTTTAAAAAAATCAAGCTCCCCAGGCTTTGCTCAGAGAATTTTATCAGAAAATTTTATATTTTTGATTAAAGTTCTAAACAAATCTAAACAAGTTCTAAACAAAATAAAGTTCTAACAAATCTATTATTACCTTAAAAGCTGATAGAAATTTCATATAAAAAATTTAAAAAATTTCTAGCCCAACGAAATTGGCCTTATCACTTGTTTTTGCTTCACACACTTTTTGAATTTTTCGAATCTATTTTTACGGAGGCAAGAAAACAAATTTCAAGTAAAAACAATGCCGTTATAAATCGAATCTGCGATGAGAAACTTTCTGAAAAAGATTCTGAAAAGTGTGTTGATTGGTTGAATAATCAAAGTAAAATTCTTGAAAAATGTAATGTGAAGATTGGAACGGTTTTTTCTAAAAGTAATCTTTTTTTATTTAAAATTAAGTAAGGCACTCTCCGGTCCGGGTTCCGAACGAATTTTTTTCACGAAGAGCGTCGTTAAAAATAGGGATTTTATTAAGCAAAAGGATCATTAGTCCAAAAAATTATAAGATTTTGTGTCTCATGCCTTAAAAATTTTACTAAAATACAATCCTATTAATTTGTCTAATTTTTAATATTTTTTAACAATTTAAAGGATTTAAAAACTTGTTGGACAAATGGGAAGATTATTCAAAAAATATCAAAGGAATATTTGAAGTTGAGATTGTGGCTGGTGATGCACCTGCACCTACTCCAGAAGCTCCGAAAGTTCGAAAGGTTATAAAAAAAGTTCGTGGTAGAGAGTATTATCACCCAGAAAGTTTTGAATACAACCCGGATGAGTATATTTATGACCATCCTCGTCATTATGGCCCTCCTCGTCATCATGGTGATTATCGTTTTATGCCGTATGGCGATTCATTTGAAGTCAAAGGAAACTACCATTACAAATCGAGTCCGAAACGAATGAAATATAGTCATCAAGCAACTTACAAATATAAAGGGAAGTGAATTTGATTTTTTGGGACACATACCGTATAACCTGTATTAATTGCCCTCCCTCAAATAATTACCCCACTTCTATTAATTACTCCATCCAGTGATAGATTGAAACAATAATTACCCTCTCAGAAATGCCCTAAAACGAGTTCAAATTTAAAACCTCGTATAATTACCCTCCCTCGATTAATTACTCCCTCCAGCGCAAGGTCGAAACAATAATTACCCTGGGTAGTTATTAAAGGATATACGGTATTTTTGATTTTTACATTCTGTTGAAAGAATGTGGGTATTGGTTGAAACCAGAGGTGGGTGGTTTTTTCGTCTTCCTATTTTCTAAATTTGAAAAAATTTTATAATCAGGCTAGTTTAGCTTTAGACTTTCGACACTTTTTCTATTATATCCATGCTTGTGAAATGGTATTGGATGGGGAAAGGAACAGAGATACCGGGGAATTGCCTAATCGAGAGTACATCCTCCTACCCTACTCCTAATTATGTTTAAAAGTGGTTAAGATCCCCCACCTCTGGTTGAGATATTTAAATTATCTAAAAATCATTTTACAATTTTTATTTATCTACCACAAAAATATACGTATCAGGATTCCTGATTTGTGTTAACATGCTCCCTGATACAACCAAGACAAAGCTCATTGGAGTAAAAATTTTAATTTCTTCATACAGATTCCTCGATTAATTACCTTCTCCCGAATAACGATTAATTTTTCACTCTAGCAATAGGGTGAAGAAATGCATTATTCGGCAAGTAATTAATTGAGAAATTACTCTATTGAGCTGAACCAAATTATTTTTGAACTGTAAAATTTATACAAAGAGACCAGTGTTTTTGAATTTAAGGAACCATAAATCAAAAAATTCTTTATTTAATGAAATTTTTGTTTGAATTTCATGTTGAATACCAAGTTTCCTCAAAAATTCATAAAATTAAAAACATTGTTCTCTAATTTTTCTACCACATTTATCAGAGATGTTGCTGCCCAAACCTATTTCCTTTTTAAAGGATAAAGTTTGAAGCTTTTCTCCGTTTCAATTTCGTTTACTCCATCTCTTTAACAATCGGCTAGCACATCTCTGATATGTACATAAATTAATTAGAATAGATTAACCACAAACAAACACCACTAACTTTTTATAAAAGTTAAGAAAAGTCAGAATTTCTATTTTTATTTATATTTTATTTAAAATTATTATTTTTAAAATTTTATACAATGTATAACTTGATTGATATACTGGAACTTTCGCCTTATTTGACCCTTATTTATCATTCATCAATTCTATAATAGAGCCGGATCTTATTCAAATACCGGATCTTATTACTAAAAATGCTATATAAAAACGATGGGTATTGAGCGTATAGCCAGACAACTTTTAAAAATCATATCTAAAGACGAAGTCTGACTATAATTTGAAATATTTACAACTAAGGTCCTACTTTATAAATTTCATTAGAAAATTCGATATAGATAATGCGAAAGTACCAATATATAAAGTTTATTTTTTAAAATTCTAAACTAAAATTCGTGGCGTACGTGATCTTGTGCGATTCGTGACATGATCTTGTACTGTCATTTATGGGATCCCTTACAGGAATTTATAATTTTAATTGACAGACGGAATTATTTCGATGTTTGCAGTATTAATAAAGATCACGTCCCGCTCCTCATTCTGAAAACTTATCCCGTAACGGGATCCTGGATTTGTGATTTTGCTACCAACATTTTATTTATTAAATAACATTATTATATAAATATACTTTTCCATTTTTATATGATTTATTTAAATGATTTTATTTTTTAAATAAACTTTTTGGGTACAATTATATTAAACATATTCATAAATTATTTATTAAGGTTAAATCGACAGAGAATATTTTTATTTACATATGATTTTTTGCGAGCTTTAAAATTCCCATCATTTACTATAATATCTGGAACATATCATCATAAAAAATTAAGATTATCCATATAATTTAGATCATACAAAAAATTAAGATAATCCACATCATTCAAATCATCTATTTGTGGGAGCTGTCCATCATTAACATTTTCTTTTGGATAAGGGCGAGTAATCGTTTCATTTATATTATTATCCGTATTTGAATTTCCTTCCTCATTAACAGAAGTATGAATGTTTTCTTTACTATTTTCTTTATTCGATTGGGATGTAAAATCCTCAGATATTCTTACTTGATTTTCATCGTTTTTATTTAGAATCATATCATTTTGTTGAACTAACTGAACGTTCCCTTGATCTAACTGAACGTTCCCATTGGAGACAATCATTTCTTTTCCTTTATTTTCATAATTATTATCCTTTATCTTACTCGCTGGAGTTCCTTCTCCATTATCAGATAAAAAGCTTATTAATTTTGGACTATCATTTTGTTGAATTCCTTTTTCATATTTCATTTTTAGACGCCTAAGTCGTTTATTTTCTAGAATCCTTTCTTTGTTCTTATGATAGTAATTGTGATTAGATTTTATTTTTCTTACTTTATATTTTGCAGACTCTCTCTTTTCCTTTATTTTTTCTTTATTATTTTCTCGGTAAGTTTGATCATATTTGGTCTTCTTTTCTTTATTCGTTTTATTCCAATTACGATAATATTCTCTCCTCTTTTCCTTTTTTTCTCCTAAATTATCTTCATCTTTTTGAGGATGAGGAGCAACCGATGATCCAGCTCCATTGTTTAATATTTTATTTAAATCTTCTGAGGTTTCCTCAACTCTAGCTAAATCGTTTTGATTTTTATTATTTTTAACAGAATTAATTAAACTCCATAATATCGAATTGAAAATTAAAAAAATTAGAACACTATCAAGTTTCATTCTAAATTAAAAAAGATTATTAAATAATAAATTTATATTACCTAATTAAAAATTGAATGGAATACAAAATAAAAATATATTCACAGTGTAGTAAAGGTCATTATTGTTAAATATAATGTCAAAATATTTATTAGAATTATGTAATCTCAACTGACATTTTCTCGGACGTTTTTTTACTTTTATAATTATGTCTGTGAAAACAGATTTCGACTATATTTGGTAAGAATGACCTTTTACTCCACTATGAAATATGGGTATTTGTTTTATTAAAAAATGCCGTTGATCCTTTAAATTTTAAATTAAAATTATGATTAAACTATTTAATTAATAAAAAATTTTATTTTTAAAGTTTCTTCATGATTGAGAATTTTTTATAAGAATTTCTTTATGAAGAATTTTATAAGACCAAGAATCTTATAAAATTCTTATTCTCCTTATAATATTTCTCCTCATCATTATTTTTCCCTAACTTTTTTTCTGGTTCATCATTTTTAGTTTCAACTTTATAATTTGTCTGTAACCTCTCTATATATTTTTGACTTTGACGTGCAAATGATTCAGCCCAAACATTTAATATTCTAGTTATATCATCTGAGGCTTTTAGCGATTTAGCCTTACTGGTAAAGTCATTATTCTCAGGATTAACAAATGAAGTTCCTTCATTAATTTCCAATTAATTTTTAGAAATTAATTTAAAATGAAACTTATCAATGTTTTAATTTTCTAAATTTTCAATTCGATATTATGGAGTTTAATTAATTCTGTTGAAAATAAAAATTAAAACGGGTCAAAAATTAAAATTTTAAAAATTTTGGAAAAATTATTTGTAGGAAATATGCCATAAAAATTGTCGGAAATCGGAAATTTTTGCAAAATTTCGAAAATCGGAAAACGGAAGGAAAAAACGTAGAAAATCGGAAGTCGCAAATAGGAATTACGACCCACCTCTGCTACGAACTAACAAGAATAACAAATTAAGACAGATTAACAAGCTGCTTTATCTACAATCCTATATACAATGGTTGCGTACAATAGGATGTGGCTAACGCCGAATATGTTGGAGACAGAACAAAATTAACTGCCACTTTCTATACAAAATTCTGCTAATATTTTTGTTATTTCTGATTTATCTTCTTGAGTATTTTCTTTATGCAAAAATTTTGAAATTTAAGGAGTCTAACGGGGGCATGGTGACGCTTTCTCGTTTTGTGACTTTCATAGTGAACACTAAATTCTCATTTAATTAAAGTTAGAATAAAGTTACTTAATAGATCCTGCAGGATGGACTAATAATACGTTACAGTTTTTAAATTTGTATATCACAAGATTTTTATGCGGTTATTTTTGAAAGCTTTTTCTTGATCACCATCTTCATTATAATACATAAAACAAATTTCTGGCATTAGTTCCTTTTTTGGTTTATAAAATAAAACTGTTTTATCCAATTTATTTTCATGACCCAAAATTTTAGATATATCATCTTTTGTTATATCATTCGGATTTTTTTAGGAAATTCCTTCATTATTTTGAAATTTAAATACTATTTCTTTGAAATATGATTATTAAAATAGAAAATTGACAAAAATAAAAAAATCGTCGACAGGATTCAATTATCCCTGCATTTACGCAATATTTTTAATTATTTTTTTCTTGGCGAAATATATTTTTTAGTATATATAAGAAGGATGTTTAATCGCAGAAATTAGGGACGGATATCCGCTTATTTGGAGCATCATATCCGTATCCATCCGATTTAAAAAAACACTATCCATATCCGTCCGTATCCGCGGATATCCGGATATTATCCGTATCCGTGCACATGCCTGTTCCATATATTTAATTCTCTTCAGAGTAAGGTTTGCGGAACCGTACCTGAAAAAGGACCGGATATCCATAAACTTTGGATCCGAAGATTTCCCAGGATCAAATAAACTTACTTTAGAACTATAAATTTTATTTTTTTAATTTTAATGATTTTCTTTAATGTCTGCGAAAATGCACTTTGAGATTTCATAATCTGTCGGCTTTAATAAATATATTTACAAGATATTTAGCAATATTGACCTTTTACATATGGTCATGAAAGGTACATTTATTACAAAATATAAGCCAAAATACACTGGATGTTTTTACCTATGTATATTCATTTTAAATTTTTTATTATTTAGCGTTAATTCATAAAAATTAAATTTATTAAAAAAATTTTTGAAATTAATTTTGAATGAAAATAATTAATGTTTTAATCTTTTTAATTTTCAATTCAATATTATGGAGTTTAATTAATTCTGTTAAAAATAATAAAAATCAAAACGAGGTAGCTATTGTTTCGGAAACTTCACAGGATTTAAATAAAATATTACATGATGGGGCTGAATCATCTGTTGGCCCTCAAAATCAAAACAATAAAGAATTATTAAAATTGGCAGAAAAAAAGATAAAGAAAAAAGAATACGATAAGGATTACAATCAAAAGAATAAAGAAAAGAGGAAAGAATATTACCGAAAATATCAACAAAAAAATAAAGAAAAACTAAAAGAAAAGAGAAATTCTGAAAATTATAAACAAGTTAAAAAAGAATATGATCGGAACTATTACAAAAATAATAAAGAAAAGATACTAGAATATAAAAGATTTTACGACCAAAATAATAAAGATAAGAGGAATGACTCTCGTCGAAAGTACCGAGAAAAAAAGAAAAATGAAATGGAAAATTTAAAAAATGAAATTTCACAATTAAGAAATATTGAATCAGAAATTAATGAAGGAACTTCTTTTATTCTTCCACAGAATAATGATTTTATTGGTAAGGCTAAATCACCAAAAGCCTCAGATAATTTAACTAAAATATTAAATAAAGGAGCTGAATCATTGGTTAATCCGCAATGTAAAAAATATCAGGAAAAGGTAAAGACAACATCCAATAATGAACTTAAAATTAATGAAGACGAAAAAAAGTTAAGGAAAAAAGAATATGATAAAGAGAGATATCAGAAGAATAAGGAAAAGATGTGTGAAAATATAGAAAATTTACGAAAAAGTAGATCAGAAATTTTGCAAAATATTAATTCAAAATTAATAAATAGTCAATCTAATAACGGAAATTTATTACCTACTACACAAAATAATGATTGTGGAAGTAAAGAAAAGGAACTGATTGTTTCCAAAGAGAATATCCAGTTAGAAAAAGGAGAAGATAATCCTATTCAATCTTCTCATAATGTGGAAGGAATTGAAAATGCTGAAGGAACCTCATTTGTTAATCCACAGATGGGTGATTTTGAAGGTGGAGGACATGAACCATCGAAAGAGAACGTTCAATTAGATAAAGAAAATATTCTTTTACAAAATGATAATTCAATTCGATCATCTTATAAGGATGAAGGAAATTCAGCACATCCAGTTAATCCGGAGAAGGTTGAAAGTGAAGATAATTCAATGAATTGCCCTTATGAACAAGAAAAAGTTCATATTGAACATCGTAATCAACAGAATGACCTGAATGATGTGGATTATCTTAATTTTTTGTATGATCTAAATTTTTTGGATAATCAGAATTTCCTATAATGAAATGAATTTATGTGATAAACAAATATATGATTTGAATTTTTAACTTTTAAAACAAAATCTTTCTACTCTGTAATTTTTAAAATATTTTTTTATTTTCTTAATCTGTCATTTAACTTGAATTAAATTAGATTATTAACTAAAAAGTTTAATACTTTCCGTATTGATATGAATTTTTAATTTTTTTTCTTTAATTTTTCTTTGTCCAATAGTGCTTATAAAGCGCAAATAAAAATTTAAATTATTGAATTGTCCAAATAATGATAACCAGAAAAACAACTGTATTCATAAAATTTACAAATTTACATTATTTATTATCTATTTTTGTCAATGATCATCTATTATAAATATTTTAAATGATCAAAAGATCTTTCTAGAAAGTATCCGAAATATAAATCTCTGAATGGTAAATTAAATTTGACAAATTTAAATTTTTTGAGTAAAATTTTCAAAAATGAAATTATAAGCTATTTCGATGCGCCTGAACGAGATAGGTCGATTATTACAAAAATTTAATGGATTGAATGATTTAGGACGAAGTTATGATCAATTAAAATTTAGCAAAAAAAAAAGTTTTTTTGTGTATTTAATATTTTCGGACCGTCTTATCTCTACCATCCGCGAAACGAATTTCTATTTTTTTGATAACAAAAATTTTTTCAGAGTTGTGAATAAAATAAAAAAAGAATTAAATATTCAGAGAGCAAAGCTAATTTTGTTTTTTACATAAAATTCTGATTATCCTTTTGTTTATATAAAATTTCAAGAATATAGATTATTCAAAAATTCAGGATCATCCAAAAAACTTAGATCAGACAAATCGTTCTGGTATTTAATTTGTTTAACGACATTTTCATCTTCTATTTGAACATTACCCTCTCCATCAGGGAATGCAATCGAGTCGGATAAATTATTTACACAATCAGTAATTGAATTTGAATAATGTGAATAATTTATCTGTCTTGTGAATAATTTATCTGTCCATACTCTTCACAAAATATTGGACCTTTTCCTTTATTTTCACTATTATTATTCGGTGAATTATTAGAAGTTCCTAAATTATTATCAGAATGAACCATTTTCATTTTTAAAATACAGTAAAGCAGCTGGGCTATAGCTATTTCTCTCCTTAAGCTAGTGCAAAAGGTTATTCGGCGGCTGGGAGCGAACCAACATCTTCAGTAGACCGGACTGATGTGTTAGCCATTACACCACGCCGCCTACTGCAC